CTGAAAATGAAAAACTTTCACCATTATTCACTCAATCACTGTCTTGCTAGAAGGGTGCTTTACACTACAGTTATAAAACTGCAACATTAACACCCCTCCTTCAGTGCTGGTACTGTACTTCCCATCTCCAGGACTCAAGTCCGGCCTGCCGGTTTCCCTGAATCCCTTTATAAACGTTACTTTACTCACACTCCAACAGCACGTCAAGTCTTAAAAACCATTGGCAGAACTCTCAGCAATGGCTTTAAATTGGAAAAATTCAGATTCAGGAAGGATATAGGAAAGCACTGGTTTGGTAATAGAGTTGTGGATGAGTGGAACAAACTCCCGAGTACAGTTATAGACGCTAAAACGTTGTGTAGTTTTTAAAATAGGTTGGATAAATACATGAGTGGGTGTGGGTGGGTGTGAGTTGGATCTGACTAGCTTGTGCTGCTAGATCAGATGCAGTGCTCCTCCCTTAACCCTTGGAGGGTCGACAGGCCCTCTCTGAGACTCATTCTCAGGGTCAGCCAAATTAAAAAAAAAATTCTTATGAAAAGATAGAGAATCTTTTCCTGATCATAATGACACCAAAATTATGAAATTTGATGGAAAACTTACGGAATTATGCTCTCGCGAAGTTAGCGGTCTCGGCGATGTTTACGCATCGGTGATTTTGCTCACTTTGAGCCCCATTTTCGGCCAATTCCACTGCACTAGTCGACAAAAAAACATGAATATTTCGCTAGAACTCCATTTTTTCTATCGAATGAGTACAAGAAACCACCCATTTACCAATTTCAACTATCCAGTACAGTGGTCAGAATTAAGCAATTTGGCCAATTTCACACAAATTTCAAAAGATGCCAATTTCTGAATAGGGTCCAGAATAAACAAGAAAGACATTCCTGGCACTAAAATGACATTTCCTTTGTTCATTAGTCACGTCTCAAGGCCCTTCTTACATTCTTTTGCTTTCCACTTTGAATTTTTATTCTCACAAAAAATAGAAGATTTACTGTTATGCAGACTACTGCATTAGTGTAAACAATGGTATAAATAATATTGGCGCTCTTGTGAAAGAATATTAGACTCACCAGTTGACGTGTATTGGAACCTTGGCATGATTTGTTTACTTTTGAACATTGGTAAAAATCGAACATTTCTGCTACTTTTGAGCTCAATTTCAACGTACTTTTCATTGTAAAACCAGTCAAAATCATCTCAATTTCTGTAATATATCTTCCATTCTATAAAATGAGACCAAGAAAACTAGAATACAACAATAAATACCATATGAAAATACAGTGCAAAGTCACTGTTTTTATTCCAAAAAAACGATCAAATTTTTTTTTTTCTCATGCACTGTGTGCTGCAGGATTTTTTTTATACTGTGCACACTGACCACGATAGACCCATTCTTTCATATGTAGGCCTACCAGCTTTCTCCCACTAGATTTGAGGGCACTAGAATTTAGGCGTACTAGTATGTCAAAAACCCTGGGTTAAGTGACGTGTCTGACCTCACTAGGTCAAGGCATTGGCTTGGGCCGGTAGGAGAGTTGGAGCTGCCTCGTGTGGACTCGTGGGCTTGTTGTGGTGTTCCTTCTTTCTTATGTTCTTATGAGGGTAAATATTCTATTAGTGGGATGGATTTATGAAGGACCTACCTAGTATGGGCCAGCAGGCCTGCTGCAGTGTTCCTCCTTTCTTATGTTCTTATGTTCTATGTTCCATTCACTCCTATCAAACATGCTCATGCATGCTTGCTGGAAGTCTAAGCCCCTTGCACACAAAACCTCCTTTACCCCCTCCCTCCAACCTATCCAAGGCTGACCCCTACCCCGCCTTCCCTCCACTACAGATTTATACAGTCAAAATTATTCTATTTTGTTCCATCCTCTCTACATGTCCAAACCACTTCAACAACTCCTCCTCAGCCCTCGTGATAATAGTTTTGGTAATCTCGTACCTCCTCCTAATTCCCATACTACGAAGTCTCGGCATTATATTCACACCACACATTGCCCTCAGACGTGACATCTCCACTGCCTCCAGCCTTCTCCTTGTTGCAACATTCACCAAGCATGATTCACACCCATATAAGTGCGTTGCTATAAGTATACTCTCATACATTCCCCTCTTTGCTTCCATGGACAAAGTTCTTTGTCTCCACACACTCCTCAGTGCACCAGTCCCTTTTTTCCCTTATCAATTCTATGATTCACTTCATCTTTCATAGACCCATCCGCTGACACGTCCACTCCTAAATCTCTGAATACATTCACCTCCTCCATACTCTCTCCCTCCAATCTGATATCCAATCTTTCATCACCTATTTTTTTTTTGTTTTCCTCATCACCTTACTCTTTCCTATATTCACTTTTAATTTTCTTCTTTTACATACCCTACCAAACTCATCCACCAACCTCTGCAACTGCAGAGGTTGGTTATTACCATGACCATATATTTATTAAGGGGTGGACCGGTAAGCCAGTGGAAGGCCTTGGTCAGATGACCAGAATCTCCAACGGCAGCTCATCATCTGACTAAGACCTGCATAAGGAATCACTTATCCTCTTTCCTGACGAAGCATACCTGACCTAACCTGTTTTATGTTTTTTAATAGGCCTAATTCAGTTATTGGGATGCTCTAAACCATGAACAATCTTTCCTAGTTATATTTGATTATTCGAGAAATAGAGTACAGTGGACCCCCAGTTTACGATCAGCTCCGAATTCAACCAATTGTGTAAGTGTATTTATGTAAGCGTGTTTGTATGTGTATGTTTGGGGGTCTGAAATGGACTAATCTACTTCACAATATTCCTTATGGGAACAAATTCGGTCAGTACTGGCACCTGAATATACTTCTGGAATGAAATAATATCGTTAACTGGGGGTCCACTGTATATCTTCTAGTGTTTTGTGTGAATAAGAATTCAAAATGGAAGTCAAGTGTAATATAGGTGTAGCTGGAGGACATGACTAACACCTAGAGTAGTTGAATGGAAGGCAGATTTCATTCTCATGGTGTCGTTACATTCAAAATGGAAGTCAAGTGTAATACAGTGGACCCCCGCTTAACGATCACCTCCGAATGCGACCAATTATGTAAGTGTATTTATGTAAGTGCGTTTGTACGTGTATGTTTGGGGGTCTGAAATGGACTAATCTACTTCACAATATTTCTTATGAGAAAAAATTCGGTCAGTACTGGCACCTGAACATACTTCTGGAATGAAAAAAGTTCGTTAACCGGGGGTCCACTGTATAGGTGAAGCTGGAGGACATGACTAACACCTAGAGTAGTTGAATGGAAGGCAGATTTCATTCTCTTGGTGTCGTTACATTCGTTAAAATGTTCCCTACCATTTCAGAAGAAAATAATTTTTGACAATTTTTGCACATTAACCCTTAAACTGTCCAAACAAATTTGCGTTCAAACGTGTAGTGCTCCAAAAGTAGATCTACGTTTTTTTTACATATTTTCAAATATAACAAAAAAAGTAGATACAGTGGACCCTCGACTAACGCTATTAATCCGTTCCTGAGAGCTCATCGTTAGTCAAAATAATCGTTAGTCAGGTTAATTTTCCCCATAAGAAATAATGGAAATCAAATTAATCCGTGCAAGACACCCAAAAGCATTGAAAAAAAAAAATTTTAACACATGAAATATTAATTTTAATACACACAAACTGAAGAAGACATGCACAGTTACATGACACTTACCTTTATTGAAGATCTGGTGATGATTGATGGGATGGGAAGAGGGGAGTGTGTTTGATGGTCTTAGTGTTTAGAAGGGGAATCCCCTTCCATTAGGACTTGAGGTGGCAAGTCCTTTTTCGGGGTTACTTCCCTTCTTCTTTTAATGCCACTAGGACCAGCTTGAGAGTCACTGGACCTCTGTCGCACAACATATCTGCCCATAGAGGCCCGTCCCTCCCGTTCCTTTATGACATTCCTAAAGTGTTTCACAACATTGTCAATGTCACCATTAACATTTGTTCAGGTTTCAGTCCTTCACTGTCTATGTACTCCTTGAATTCCTGCACATATTTTTCAGGTGCTTTTTGGTCCAAACCATGCCTCACCATGCCTTGTCACACTATGTATGCCACTATGATTCTTAAATCTCTCAAACCAACCTTTGCTGGCCTTAAATTCACTCACTTCACACTAGTTGCTGGCATTTTTCTAATTAAATCGTCATGCAACTTCCTAGCCTTTTCACATATGATCGCTTGAGAGATGCTATCTCCTGCTATCTGTTTTTCGTTTATCCATACCAATAACAGTCTCTCAACATCTTCTATCACTTGTGATCTCAGTTTCGAAAACATAGTTGCACCTTTGGCAAGAACAGCTTCCTTGATTGCCGTTTTCTTGGCCTCAAAAGTAGCGATGGTTGATTGGGGTTTTGTGTACAGCCTGGCCAGCTCGGAGACATGCACTCCACTTTCATACTTAGCAATGATCTCTTTCTTCATATCCATAGTAATTCTCACCCTTTTTGCTGTAGGGTTGGCACTAGAAGCCCCAAGAAGGCCCATGGTGACTTATTTTGCAGGTGCAATCACTAAAAAGGCTGTGATAATATGAAATGTTCCGATTGTATGCTTGGAAGCGACCGCGGTGGCTGGCTGGCTTGTAAACACTGGCCAGAAGTGGACGCGTCTCAGACGGAATGAATAGTGTTGGTCGAGTTTTTTAGCGCTAATCGAGGCAAAATTTTTGCGATAAAATGTATCGCTAGTCAGATTTATCGTTAATCGATGCCATCGCTGGTCGAGGGTCCACTGTATAAGTTTTTCTACGTTTGGACAGTTTAAGGGTTAAGATCACTTTTCATTTCAGGCGTCCAGACAGTGAAAGAGTTAAATGTCATCAATGTTCAGGTTAACTTAAGCCATCATCAACATAGAGTTGAACTTTAATAGTCATCAACAACCAGGTTAACTTGAATACAGTGATCAACGTATAGGTTAACTTTAATAATCATCAACATACAGGTTAACATCAACTGTCATCAACCTACAGGTTGATGCAGCCCTGGGAGCAGAAGAGATGGTGGAAACATTGACAGACCGCAACCTGAACCTGGAGGAGAAAGTTGCAGAGTTGCTTGAGACCGTCAGCGACCTGGAGGCCATCAACGACATGAACGACCAGCTCCAGGAGAATGCCCGGGAGCTAGAGCTTGAGCTTAGGGAAGAGCTCGATATGGCTAACAGCAAGATCAGAGAGGCAAGTTTAGTCTGGCTCACTATCAGATCAGTCTTACAGTGTACTAACACCTTGTTGATAGATCAATCTTACAGTCTACTAACACTGTTGATAGATGAATCTTACAGTCTACTGACTCTCACTTTGTGGATAAATCTTATATAAATTACTAAATTCTGGGAACGAGCTGACTGTTTCAGCATTAATAACAATTTTATGTGTTTGTTTAAACACTACAGATTCTTCGAGAACGAGAGGCGGCCAATGAAGTGATTGTTGACCAGGATGCCACTATTAAGAAGTTCCGAGAACTGGTGCAGAAGCAACAAGAACAGAACCTGGACCTGCGTCACTCGCTAGAGAAGGAAACGAACAAACCTATTGGCACTCCCTCGGAGATTATTGACTTTAAGGTGAGTGCTGGCACTGCTAGATTATTGGCACTGTTTGATTATTGGCACTGCTAGATTATTGGGACTGCTAGATTATTGGGACTGCTAGATTATTGGGACTGCTAGATTATTGGGACTGCTAGGTTATTGGCACTGCTAGATTATTGGCACTGCTAGATTATTGGCACTGCTAGATTATTGGCACTGCTAGATTATTGGCACTGCTAGATTATTGGCACTGCTAGATTATTGGCACTGCTAGATTATTGGGACTGCTATGTTATTGGGACTGCTAGATTATTGGGACCACTAGATTATTGGGACCGCTAGATTATTGGGACCGCTAGATTATTGGGACCGCTAGATTATTGGGACCGCTAGATTATGGGGACTGCTAGATTATTGGTACTGCCAGATTATTGGCACTGCTAGATTGTTGGGACTGCTAGGTTATTGGGACTGCTAGGTTATTGGGACTGCTAGGTTATTGGTACTGCTAGATTATTGGCACTGCTAGATTATTGGCACTGATAGATTATTGGCACTGATAGATTATTGGCACTGCTAGATTATTGGGACTGCTAGATTATTGGGACTGCTAGGTTATTGGGACTGCTAGGTTATTGGTACTGCAAGGTTATTGGTACTGCTAGGTTATTGGTACTGCTAGATTATTGGGACTGCTAGATTATTGGGACTGCTAGATTATTGGGACTGCTAGGTTATTGGGATGCTAGGTTATTGGGACTGCTAGGTTATTGGGGCTGCTAGATTATTGGGACTGCTAGGTTATTGGGACTGCTAGGTTATTGGGACTGCTAGGTTATTGGGACTGCTAGGTTATTGGGACTGCTAGGTTATTGGGGCTGCTAGATTATTGGGACTGCTAGGTTATTGGGACTGCTAGGTTATTGGGACTGCTAGGTTATTGGGACTGCTAGGTTATTGGGACTGCTAGGTTATTGGGACTGCTAGGTTATTGGGACCGCTAGATTATTGGGACCGCTAGATTATTGGGACCGCTAGATTATTGGGACCGCTAGATTATGGAGACTGCTAGATTATTGGTACTGCTAGATTATTGGCACTGCTAGATTATTGGCACTGCTAGATTATTGGTACTGCTAGATTATTGGCACTGCTAGATTATTGGCACTGCTAGATTATTGGAACTACTAGATTATTGGAACTACTAGATTATTGGCACTGCTAGATTATTGGCACTGCTAGATTATTGGCACTGCTAGATTATTGGTACTGCCTCAGAGATTGACCCTTTGAGGGCCTGTCCCGTAGTTCTACAGCTATGAAGCTAGGGTCCAAGCTGTAGCTCTATACCGTCAGCTCAGCTCAGCTCAGAGAAGCTGTGAGTGGTAAATTTGGGCTTATTTATTAGAGAATGCATATACGTACATTGGTACCTCGGAATGCGAACAGCTCAAAACTCGAACAGTTATGTAAGTTATGTAAGCGTGGATGTAGTGCGGATGACAAGAAACAGATGATTGCTGATGTTATGAATGAAAAGAAGTTGGATGTCCTGGCCCTAAGCGAAACAAAGCTGAAGGGGGTAGGGGAGTTTCAGTGGGGGGAAATAAATGGGATTAAATCTGGAGTATCTGAGAGAGTTAGAGCAAAGGAAGGGGTAGCAGTAATATTAAATGATCAGTTATGGAAAGAGAAAAGAGAATATGAATGTGTAAATGCAAGAATTATGTGGATTAAAGTAAAGGTTGGATGCGAGAAGTGGGTCATAATAAGCGTGTATGCACCTGGAGAAGAGAGGAATGCAGAGGAGAGAGAGAGATTTTGGGAGATGTTAAGTGAATGTATAGGAGCCTTTGAACCAAGTGAGAGAGTAATTGTGGTAGGGGACCTGAATGCTAAAGTAGGAGAAACTTTTAGAGAGGGTGTGGTAGGTAAGTTTGGGGTGCCAGGTGTAAATGATAATGGGAGCCCTTTGATTGAACTTTGTATAGAAAGGGGTTTAGTTATAGGTAATACATATTTTAAGAAAAAGAGGATAAATAAGTATACAAGATATGATGTAGGGCGAAATGACAGTAGTTTGTTGGATTATGTATTGGTAGATAAAAGACTGTTGAGTAGACTTCAGGATGTACATGTTTATAGAGGGGCCACAGATATATCAGATCACTTTCTAGTTGTAGCTACACTGAGAGTAAAAGATAGATGGGGTACAAGGAGAATAGAAGTATCAGGGAAAGAGAGAGGTGAAGGTTTATAAACTAAAGAGGAGGCAGTTAGGGTAAGATAAAAACAGCTATTGGAGGATAGATGGGCTAATGAGAGCATAGGCAATGGGGTCGAAGAGGTATGGGGTAGGTTTTAAAAATGTAGTGTTAGAGTGTTCAGCAGAAGTTTGTGGTTACAGGAAAGTGGGTGCGGGAGGGAAGAGGAGCGATTGGTGGAATGATGATGTAAAGAGAGCAGTAAGGGAGAAAAAGTTAGCATATAAGAAGTTTTTACAAAGTAGAAGTGATGCAAGGAGGGAAGTGTATATGGAGAAAAAGAGAGAGGTTAAGAGAGTGGTGAAGCAATGTAAAAAGAGAGCAAATGAGAGAGTGGGTGAGATGTTATCAACAAATTTTGTTGAAAATAAGAAAAAGTTTTGGAGTGAGATTAACAAGTTAAGGAAGCCTAGAGAACAAATGGATTTGTCAGTTAAAAATAGGAGAGGAGAGTTATTAAATGGAGAGTTAGGGTATTGGGAAGATGGAGGGAATATTTTGAGGAATTGTTAAATGTTGATGAAGATAGGGAAGCTGTAATTTCGTGTATAGGGCAAGGAGGAATAACATCTTGTAGGAGTGAGGAAGAGCCAGTTGTGAGTGTGGGGGAAGTTCGTGAGGCAGTAGGTAAAATGAAAGGGGGTAAGGCAGCCGGGATTGATGAGATAAAGATAGAAATGTTAAAAGCAGGTGGGGATATAGTTTAGGAGTGGTTGGTGCTATTATTTAATAAATGTATGGAAGAGGGTAAGGTACCTAGGGATTGGCAGAGAGCATGCATAGTTCCTTTGTATAAAGGCAAAGGGGACAAAAGAGAGTGCAAAAATTATAGGGGGATAAGTCTGTTGAGTATACCTGGTAAAGTGTATGGTAGAGTTATTATTGAAAGAATTAAGAGTAAGATGGAGAATAGGATAGCAGATGAACAAGGAGGCTTTAGGAAAGGTAGGGGGTGTGTGGACCAGGTGTTTACAGTGAAATATATAAGTGAACAGTATTTAGATAAGGCTAAAGAGGTTTTTGTGGCATTTATGGATTTGGAAAAGGCGTATGACAGGGTGGATAGGGGAGTATAATGTGGCAGATGTTGCAGGTGTATGGTGTAGGAGGTAGGTTACTGAAAGCAGTGAAGAGTTTTTACGAGGATAGTGAGGCTCAAGTTAGAGTATGTAGGAAAGAGGGAGATTATTTTCCAGTAAAAGTAGGCCCTAGACAAGGATGTGTGATGTCACCGTGGTTGTTTAATATATTTATAGATGGGGTTGTAAGAGAAGTAAATGCGAGGGTCTTGGCAAGAGGCGTGGAGTTAAAAGATAAAGAATCACACATAAAGTGGGAGTTTTCACAGTTGCTCTTTGCTGATGACACTGTGCTCTTGGGTGATTCTGAAGAGAAGTTGCAGAGGTTGGTGGATGAATTTGGTAGGGTATGTAAAAGAAGAAAATTGAAATTGAATACAGGAAAGAGTAAGGTTATGAGGATAACAAAAAGATTAGGTGATGAAAGATTGGATATCAGATTGGAGGGAGAGAGTATGGAGGAGGTGAATGTATTCAGATATTTGGGAGTGGAAGTGTCAGCGGATGGGTCTATGAAAGATGAGGTGAATCATAGAATTGATGAGGGGAAAAGGGTGAGTGGTGCACTTAGGAGTCTGTGGAGTCAAAGAACTTTGTCCTTGGAGGCAAAGAGGGGAGTGTATGAGAGTATAGTTTTACCAATGCTCTTATATGGGTGTGAAGCATGGGTGATGAATGTTGCAGCGAGGAGAAGGCTGGAGGCAGTGGAGATGTCATGTCTGAGGGCAATGTGTGGTGTGAATATAATGCAGAGAATTCGTAGTTTGGAAGTTAGGAGGAGGTGCGGGATTGCCAAAACTGTTGTCCAGAGGGCTGAGGAAGGGTTGTTGAGGTGGTTCGGACATGTAGAGAGAATGGAGTGAAACGAGAGTTGACTTCAAGAGTGTATCAGTCTGTAGTGGAAGGAAAGGCGGGGTAGGGGTCGGCCTAGGAAAGGTTGGAGGGAGGGGGTAAAGGAGGTTTTGTGTGCAAGGGGCTTGGACTTCCAGCATGCATGCATGAGCGTGTTTGATAGGAGTGAATGGAGACAAATGGTTTTTAATACTTGACGTGCTGTTGGAGTGTGAGCAAAGTAACATTTATGAAGGGGTTCAGGGAAACCGGCAGGCCGGACTTGAGTCCTGGAGATGGGAAGTACAGTGCCTGCACTCTGAAGGAGGGGTGTTAATGTTGCAGTTTAAAAACTGTAGTGTAAAGCACCCTTCTGGCAAGACAGTGATGGAGTGAATGATGGTGAAAGTTTTTCTTTTTTGGGCCACCCTGCCTTGGTGGGAAACAGCCGATGTGTTAATAATAATAAAAATAAATGTTTCCTACAGCCAGGGGCTCTAGCATTCCTCCTGTGATAAAACTCGGACGGAACGTGTCTGGGTAAAATTTTGTAAATGTATTTGTCTTAATACTGCAACCCCGACTGCAACCCTTTTTCCCAAAAAAAGGGACATAGGAAATGAAAACCCTTTTGGGCAGTGTTTCAGTCCCCCTTTGGGGCCCCTTTACGGATGTGACTGGGTTTTGGGTTCCCAAAAAAGGACCCTTTAATGTCTACAGAAAAGATTTTTTGCAGTTGCTAAAGATTTTTCACAACAAATTTAAATTTTTATCTCACAAATTTTATACAACATATGTTGAAACAACCCATGATGGCCCCTGTGTCAACATCATTTTTAAATTATTTTTTGGGTTTTTGTTATCAAAATGAGTTATTTTGGGCTTCATTACTGATGGGAAAAAAATTTTTTTAAAATTCAGTTGGGCTTTTATTTTGACCCCATTACTGATGGAAAACATTTTTAAAAAACCCTTTGTTTTAAATTTATTTTGATTTATTTTTTTTTTCATTTTTTTTTTTTTTTTTTTTTTTTTTTAAAAAGTGGCCGCTCCCAAACCGGGGGCAGGGTGAACCCCAAAAAAGAAAAAAAATCCCCAAAAAAAAAAATAATTACATCATCATTCAACAAATTTCACCCACTCACACATTTTCACTGCTTTTGAAAAGGTGCTCAGGGAAAACAAAAAGTTTTTGAAACCCCTAATATTAAAAAAAACACAACATACCCTCCCCAAAATGCCATTTTCCCCAAAACCCCCCCTTTAAATTGTGCAGGCTTTTACTTCCCCTTTCCCCGGATCAAGTCCGCTAAAAAAAAAAAACCGGTTTCCCTGAACCCCTTTTCACTAAATATTACCCTGCTCACACTCCAACGATGTCAGTCCCAGTATCTTTGCTCCTTTCCCCCCTATCTAACAGCTCATGCAGCTTGCTGGAAGTCCCAAACCCCCCGCCTACAAAACCTCCCAACCCCCCTTTTCCCAACCCCTTTTTAGGACGACCCCTCCCAGCCCTTCCTTCCCCCCATAATTTATATGCTTTTCCCTGTCTTTTTTCCTTTGATCCATTCTCTCTAAATGACCAAACCCCTCAACAACCCCCCTTTTTCCCCCTGACTAAAACTTTTTTTTAAATCCACACCCTTTTCTAATTTCCACACTCCGAAATTTTTTTATAATATTACACCACACATTGCCCCCTTTAAAAGGACATCCCACTGCCCCCAGCCGTCCCTCCTGCTGCATTTACCCCCCAACTTCACACCTATGAGTGTTGGCACTACATACTTTTAACATTCCCTTCTTTGCCTCCCCTAGATAAGTTTTTTGCCCCACATATACCCCAACGCACCATCCCTTTTTTTCCCTCATAAATTCTTTTAAACCCTCACCCCTTCAAAAATCCATCCGCCACACGTCAACCCCAAGTATGAAAACATTCCTTCTTCCATATCCCCTCCCCCAATTTGATACCCAAATTTTTTTTTATCTAAATCATTTATACCCCATCACTTACTCTTTTCTTTTTCACTTTCAACTTTCTACCTTTCACACTTTCTCAAATATCCACTAACCTTTGAAATTTTTTTTTAAAATTTCCCCAAAGCACATATCTCAGCAAAAAGAACTGTGTCAATCCCATTTTGAATTTGATTCCCCCAAAATTTTAATCCTCCCTCCCCAAAACCCCCTACCTTTTACTTCTTTTACAACCCCATCTATAAATATATTAAAAACCATGGGATT